AAATAAAAACCTGATGCACATTGGGAAAACAATCAACACAAAAGAGTGATGACCATTACCTTGGGGTGTGAATGGAAGAGGTATGGAACTTTGTCTGAGCAGTGGAGAAGAGCTGGTTGATGTCTTCATGTGTATGCCCAACCAACAGAAAGCTCAGGTAGACCTCTTGGAACATATCTAGGCTGACCAGGAGACTGAGGAAGGCAAGCATGAAGACATTCTTGTTCTCAGCAGCACAATTGTCAGCCTGCAGGTAGAGGATAGAAGGGCGAGTGTTGGAGGTGTTAGTCAAAAGGCAAGTTCAGATGTGGTGAAAGAGTGTGGAGATGACAAGGTTAGCATCTTTTGGCCAAAAGGGCTGAGGGTGTAGAAAGAGGTGTTTGCCATGGCTGTGGTCAATGAGACCACCAAGAACCATGGTGAACCAGTTGCCAAAGTGCATCCAGGCCTTTGGCACAGGAGTGTGGGTGGGGAGAGGGAGTGGGTTGGAGTAGTCAATGATCAGGCTCATGTAAAGACTTGGTTGACTTGTTGCTTGGTGGCATTGGTCCTTGTAACTGAGGTGTTCTGCAGAAGAAAGAGCAAGGTGGTGAGTCTGTGCACTTGCAAACTGTGCTGCCTCAAGAGGGCTTTTGGCTCTAAAGCATTGCTGTGCAAAGTCAATGCAAGCAGAGCACTTGCCAAGGCATGAGTTCTTAGGCAACTTCACATAGGCAAAGTGGGAAGCAATGTGTTTGAGCATAGCAGAATAGGTGAGCACAGGAACAGTAGAGGGATGAGCATTGGCACACATAGAGTGCACTTCTTGCCAAGTCAAAGAAATAGGTAAGTGGATGGTGGCATCAGGAAGGTGATCTCCAATCACATCAAAGAAAGTGGTTAGCCATAAGTGGGTATTGGAGGTGGCATTTGAGGGACGTTGCTGTCCAGTGGTGTTGTGTATTGGGACACGCCCACCAGAAATGAATATCTGTTTAGCAGAATGCCACTTCTTCCTGCTGAAACCATGCACGTAGAGCAGCAATGTGAGGTGGGATAACAAATGTAAGGCTGCAATAAAAAGGGTTGGCACCTTTTGGAAAGCATTCAAACACACTGGAGAACCATTGAGTTGCAACTTGAAGTGGCACTCAGGTAGTGTTGAGACACAGCTGGCTGACATGATGTTGATGATGAAGGTGGTGCGATTGCATTCATTGAGATCTGCAAAGGGTTGTGTGATGTTGAGAATGTCAGCAAAGGAGAAGTTATCAAGGCATTTCTTGCAACAACAGAATGATGCAAGAACAGTATTGATGTGATCATTGCTGACAAGCAGGCGACACTTTTTGGGGATTCACTCTTCAGCAGTTAAGAGAACTCTCTTCCTTGGAGTATGAGCTGTGGCTTGTAAGGACTGAGGTGAGGACCTCAGTGTTGGTGGGGAGAGAGTGGCTCACTGTGGTGGAGAACGACTGTGTGACACTGGAGAGGTATTTAAACATTTGGTGTGATATCTCCAATTCCCAATGGCCACATAACAGATAGATGTGGTTCTTCTGGATTGGTGAACATTTGTGTTTCTTGGAACTCCAGACCAATGAGCTCACAACTAACAACAGTGGAGTTGAGGAAAATACTGGACAAATTAAAAAACCCAATGTGCATTGGGTTTTTTATTTGTCAACTCTTTTCCTGATGCACATTGGGAAACAGGACAACAAATTAAAACCAATGCACATCAGGAAAAGAGTCAACAAATAAAAAACCCAATGCACATCAGGAAGCAAGTCAACAAATAAAAAACCCAATGTGCATCAGGAAGATCTCAAAGCTCTCCAGACCACATGAAATTTCGCCACCTGTTTCCAGTCCCTCCAATTAGAATTTAATGCAGACAGCTTTTTTGTAGACCTTCACTACCTATAAAATGTTGAAAAACCTATTTTGATCATTTTGTTGTACCACCCACATTCAACACACACTTCCTTACAATGTCTTCTTGCCAAGCTGCCTCAGGCCTTCCCAACTTCTTGGCCATGTTGGCCACTGAGCTTCTAGCAAGCTCCCATAATGCCCAGGCAAAGGTGCACCAGCAACCGGGCACCAAGGTTATCACCAAGGCATACATCAACAGGTTGCTGCAGGCGCAGGGCCAAGACACGGGCCATACAAAGCAGCAGTCTCTCAAACTGCTAATGCAGTGTATGCCAACAACAGCAGGGGAGGGAGTGAAAGAGCCAATGGATGTGGAAGAGGAGGAGGAGGAGATGGAGGAAAAGGAGGTAGAGGAGGAGGAAGAGCAGGAGAAGGAGCTGGAGGAGGAGGAGGAGAAGCAGGGGGAGGAGCAAATGGAGGAGAAGGGGGTGGAGCTGGAGGAGGAGATAGTGGAGGAGGAGAAAAAGGAGGAGAAGGGAGAGGAAGTGCTGGAGGAGGAGCTAGAGGAGGAGGAGGAGGAGCTGGAGGAGGAGGAGCACCAAGCACTGCAAAGGAAGCACAAGCTGGTAGAGGAAGAGTGCAAGCAGAGGAAACGCCCACACCCAGCAGTGATTGACATGGACAAGGAGATGGAGGTAGAGGAGATCAAGACCAAGCCTCACAAGCAGCTGGTGGTGTGCCAGTAGTCTGAAGGCAACACTGAACACCACACTGACAAGTTCCAAACTGATGTGCATTGGGTTTTTTATTTGTTGACTCTTTTCCTGATGTGCATTGGGTTTTCTATTCAACCTGTGAGAATCACATTCTCTAACAGTTTGTGTTGCTGACCTCAACCTTGCTATTCAGAAACAAAAATTCATACGCTCCTGAATTTCCAATCACTTCAGTCCAACCCCAACATCATCAGCACCAGCCTTCAGGTGACCTGCAACAACCAAGCAATTCGCCAGCAGAAGGAGCAGCTTGATTGCATTGACCCTTCAACTTTGCACTGTACCTGGGTTCAACCCACATCACGCCACATTGATGTTCAGAACTGCACCATCTTTGGTACAACTCCTCTTTTCATTCTGGCAATGTGTTGATGCTTTCACTTGCTAACCACCTGCACTGCCATCAGAACAGCATCACCCAGTGACAGTTCCAGGAATTCATCACTTGCTGCAGTCTGTTGTGGATGGAGGGTGTCTCACAACCAAGCCCTTCATTGTTAGATTTCTCAATGAAGATGAGCGCCTTGACTGAAACAATGTTGATGAGTTTTCCAGTTGCAAAAGTCCACCCACCACAACACAGCATCAGCCTTGATGTTCAGGGAACCCTTGATCCACACTGCCTTGTAGAGGCTCACACCAATGCTGTCAAGCAAGGCGTAGATGCTCTTCACAATATCAGTCATCACATGATCAGATCTCTGCCATTTACCACATATGCCAGTGCAGTCATATTGTTGGTCCAACACTCCACCTGCTGCCCCTGCAACAGGTGGGCAAATGACACCAGCCTGTGGAGGACCGCCCTCATCTCCAGCAGATGGATGGGCTGGGCTTGCTCACAGGCCAAGTGCCCACCCCACACCTGGTCACTGGTCTCCAGCAGAAACGCTCCCCAGCCCATGGTCTGCACTGTGTCAGAGAACACCATGGCCACTCTGGACAGCCACCACATCAGGGCGCCCTGGATCTGACACAGATTCATGGCCACCCACTGTAGGTCGCTGGCTGCTGCAGGTGATACCACCACCAGCTGATCCCACTGGTCATGCTGCCCACCCACCAGGGCATAAGCCTCATGCAGGTAAACCTGCACCTGCGGCTCAGTACGCCACAACTTCACTTCAGGGATGAGGACACAGCCCTGATGAAGATTGAGCAGCAGCCCCATCACCTCAACAAGTTGGGATGGCTCCCACATGCCCTTGGTGGTCTCCCACACCCATCCCAGGCATTCAAGGGAGGGTGCCACAATCTGGTTGTGGATCTGGCAGAGCACCTCTGGCAAAGAGGCAACCACCACAAAGTTGTTGACATACACAAACACCAGGACACCAAGAGCACACCATGACTTGACCATCACACATGACCTC